GAGGCAAGGAACCAACAGTCTGTATTCAAGAGAATGAGCTCTGTAAAACTGATGCACACGCAACACTCAGGTTCTGGAGCAGGACTGCAGTTCAGTAGTGGACGAACAACCAGAACAGAGTGTACAGCTGGTGAACGCGAAGAAGAAGAAGATTTATATTCCGCTTGCATGCGTTTTTGTAACGAAGAAGTGGCTCACACCCTTACAACCCACAAGACTGGTAAGGCTGTTCTTGTGTGGTCTTCCTCAATATTTATTTTCACAAATTATTCCTATGATCACATCAAGATGTCCCAAATCGACCTCTCCAAACAAATCGAGCAAGAAAATGAAAAGTCCGGTACATACACCAAGACAAAGGGGCATAGCAACAGTTGCTAGTGGACGCCTGTTTTGTAGTTACAACAACTAACAACGTGCTAATGACATGCTTCATCATGCTCTTCAGGCCGTGCCTGTCAACTGTTGTTACTTTTGATTGTTTAATATTCAATAGATTATGCATTAATTGTAAACAGATTGTAGGAGTATCGCCATCAAGTGCCTTGTCGACTGACACGGGCGTCATACACAGTCGCGTAGGAAGAGGTTTGCGGGGGAGGGGTGCGCGCATCAGGGGGTGTCATCACTGGCGAAGAGGTGACAAAATTGAGAGAAAAAAAGTGTTTTTAACATAAACAAATGTGTGTGTGTGTGTGGGAGGAAAAAAAGGGGGGGGGGGTTGTGAACAAAAATGTCCAGCACCGGGTAACACTTGACCTCGCAATGTCCCTGAACAGGCCAATCCAAAATGCTGCCAACTCCAACAGCATGTATCAGTGGGGCCCCTTCATGCAATGAGAAAAGGCGGTCAAGAATCTTCTCAAATTGTCTTTCAATTTTTTTTCCTCACAAATTTTCCCACTGGTCACAAAATACTTCAGTTTCCCTTTTCTTATAAGTGGCAAAGCTACGACTGGCTTCTTCTAATGTTTGCGACAAGTTTTCTTTGGGCCCTCGCATCTTTTAAACACATTTACGTATATACTATTTCAGATTAATAAATTTAATTTAATAATTTAATACAGTCCAAGTGTACATATTTGTGCTGTTGCCTTGCGCCATGCGGAAGTTTTCACCTGATTCCATATTTTACATCTACCTATCATCACTTTAGGTGGCCCGGGATTCACATCACATAGCACGGTTTGTATGTTCTCACTACTTTCTTCATCTTCCACCGTGTTTCTACATATTTCACCCAATATTTAAAATGTATGTGTAACCAGTCGTTGTATATAATGAGTATTTGTTATCGTGGTGACGAGAAATCAGTGGTAGAGTATGAAGGAACGGACAGAGATGAATTATCGTATCCAGGAGGCCCGGCTAGACCGACGGCAGACGACGTGAGTCATGCAGGCTTCATCATTCACTTAAGGATCGCCGTCGTTCACCGGCCTTGATTCTTTCGGCGTTCGCGTCTTCTTCTGTAGTAAGACACTTCGTTTCTTCCCGATGATATACTGCAGACTGAAATTATTCCTTACATACGCAGCAGGTCACAAGATTTAGGTACAATTTCAGAAGTCGAAATATGAATAGTCAAACTAGCGACATTACTTACTCCTGAACTAGTTAGTGCTTGCAGAATTTTTTTTTTAAGTTCCAAAATAATAAATTTAGATTTTTTTTTTTTAAATTTCAGAGAGGTATGATATGAATATCCTGCCATTTCAGTAGTAATACAGTTAGTTTGTGGTTGGGTCAGGTTTACTACACTTTCACTTGAGAGTGAGAGAGTCCCTCTTGACTATTCCAAATTTGATAAGGATAAGGCTTATTAACACTGATACTGCTGTGTTGTAGGCTGATTTAGGGCTCTCTAGCAGCACAGTGAGTAGTAGGGTCCAAGCTTACAATTGCAATGGTACCTCGGTAACATATGTTCCCTTTGTTATACCTTTTAACTTAGTATATGTCCTGTTTAGACACAAAAACGTTCGCTTGGTATACGCATACGACTTGTTTGGAATACGCGTGCTAGAACTTGTGTGGGTGAAAATTAGTCACGACACAGAGCACTCACTTTTTTTTCACCTCTCTTGAGACAAAGCCATGCATAGATTTGAATCACTTTGTAGTCAGGTATTACCCCAACAAAGCCGTAAGCTGTAAAGATTAATGTCACATTTTGGAAACATTCTGAGGAGAAGGCAAAAGCCACGTTCTATGGACATATTTTTTTTAGTAAGAATCACACCTGATTAGCCTCAGCCAGAACTGTTTTTAGTAACACATACACAGTGCCGACACATTCTCATTTAAAAGATAATATTATGACTGAATTTATGCTGACTACTGTCTTGTCACTGTCACAGTGATTGCACTCATCCTGAGTCAGATTTTATGTATTGGGATTTTTACTTTTAAACCAAAACAGCTGAATAGAGGTTGAAAAACAGTCCAACGGTACCTCAATGAAATCTGTGTGTCAGTTCTAAGCGGAGATATTCACATTTTAGTGACGGAAAGTGCTCCCAAAAATAACAAACAAGATGGCGGCATGTTCCCATGTGAAAACTGGACCTAAAGTGATGTAATTTGTATTCTTTGTGTCTTTTATTAAAAGCACTTGTAAAAATTAAATTGTCAGTTACAGTTCAGGAATCTTTCTGCAGTTCCCTGGGGAGAAAATATCGTGTCTTCACGTGTAGCCTCACTATTGTTTAAGTAGGAAAGTTTTTGACCGTCGACTTAAAACACAGCAGTTAGGTATTTAAAAGAAATTCATTTGCTTATGGATGTTGTAAAAGGTGACTGATTCAAGGTGTGCTGAAATTGAATGTGCTTGTCCTCACGGTGCAGATATTGCAGCCCATCTGTAAACCACAACACTGATGTGGTAACCACCCTTTTAAGACTGCACATTCATGGCTCTCCAGAGCAGGACAGATAGTTAGTTATGTTTCCTTTACATTATGTTGCAGAACCAACCCCAGCATTTTTTGGCTGTTGTGGTTTTTCTAGGCAAATTGTATGTCCAGTAGTTTGCCTTTGCTTTCCGGATGGTCGGCTTCTCGATACAACTGTCAAATCCAGCACAAGGTCTGCAGCTGGGATCGAACCTGGCACCCCGGTGTTATGAAGCGTGTTCACAACGCCTAAGCCACAGACGCAGACTCAGGATAGATAGTAGGACTAAATAGCTCTAGAACAACAGTACAGAGGACAATATGAGATCAAAAATCATGTGGCAGCAGTAAAGATGGTAGACGGAATATCTACTTCTATGTTTGCCCCTTAAAGGTTCACAGTATTAGGAAGGTTGAGAACCACTGCCCTAGATAAAGAAAGTTTGGCTCTCCTTGCAATAACGGTCGCTACTTGGACGGCGATGGCCGCTTCGTCGGAGTTCAGTCCCCTGGCTGCAGTGCAATTACGGAGTGAAAAAGAGGGAACGACACAAATTACATAATTAGGGTTTGGGTAAGGGTAACACATGTAACGTCGAGTGCACGAGCCACATACCTGCATGTTCCTTATAACTCTATGCTCAGCTAGCCACCGCAACCACGCAAGCTTATCGCTCATTAAGGCATACAGATCTGCAGGAGTCACATCCGTGGCCACTAAGTCTTGTGTCGCAAGTTCGCGGTCGCTACTGTGAGTCGCAGAGCGAGGTCTAGAGGCCATGTTGAACTCACTTTGTTTTGTGATTCGTGCCTTGTCCACTCCGTAATTGCACTACAGCCAGAGGACTGAACTCCGACTACGCGGCCATCGCCGTCCAAGTAGCGACCGTTATTGCAAGGAGAACCGAAAGTTTACATTATGTAGTGGTTATAGCTGGGCTGCACTTTCTGGCCTTTCAGCCGAACACATCTGATTTCCGCAAAACCCTTACTTAGTCCCCTTTTGTGTCATGCTGGTTAACTCTTTTAGTTGTGGGGTAATTTCTCAATGTAGGAAATAGCTACCATCCTGAGTGTATTACTTTGAGACTGGCTGTATACATTGGAAGTGCCTCTGTGGAAGCTAGATTTTTAAAAAATATGCTCTGACAACATGTAAAAATGTAATGGCTTAGTCATATTGTAAGAATACAGCCAGAACAACTACCAGCGCAGGTGCTACACATGAACAGATTTATGTGAAAAGCAAGAGGTCGCCCTAGGAGATGTGGACTTAGGACATTAAAGAGCTTTTACATTGATACAGAAGGACAATAGACATTTAGCAGTTTAAGTAAACATTTAATGATTTTACCGTCATAAGTTGAAAGACTAAACAATACATCTTGCGATCTATAGGACTAGACGAGTTAAGGGACAATGGGTCAGTTTCCATTGAAAATGGGACCCTGGAATACACACAGGAAGAAGAAAGAATCAGTCACTTAATCAATATATTAAATTATCATATGAATATAACATGCTTATTGGTAAAATACAGCTGCAGTGTGAAAGACGTGTGTTTAGAAGGGCCGAATGTAAGACGGGCCTGCGTGCCCAATTTGTGACCCTTTGAAAATAAAGTTTGTTCGTTCATGTCCTTTACAGAACCATGCTCTCTTCACTTCACACCTGAAAGTCTCTCTAGCTATTTCTCCATCCCTGAATGCCTTCATAGCCATTGCATTGTCAATATCCTGCATACATCCTCATGGAGGTCCGCCTCTGCCTCCTGTTCCACAAACTGCACCCTTCATCACCGTTCTCTCCAGACCACCATGGTGCTTGATATGGCTAGAATACTTTGGCTTTTGGTGCAGGATGCTGTTTATGAGCCAATTCTCCTTGATGTTTGGGTCATGCAGGATGCCAGCGTTTTTGTTTGTCCCTGGTCCAGGGTATTGTACACATTTTTCTGTAGTATTTCAGTTATAAAGCTACGATTTTCCTCCTCAAAGACTGAGTGAAAGTCCATTACTCCAAGAGTCCTTGAAGAAAGAATATGAGATATAAATAAAATCATGTTATGTCTGGTTTGTTCCAGGAGAGAAAAATTCTGCAAACAACATGGCTGCTGTGAACGTACACAGCACAAATGCTTCAGACAACAACCTCAGCCGCCATGACATGTTGTCCTGGATCAACGACACACTGCACACAAACTACACAAAGATTGAAGAACTTTGTTCAGGTGACTGACACACCTGTTTGTCTTCCAGATAATTGTACTAGCACAGTGGTTCTCAACCTGTGGGTTGGGACCCTTTCACATGGGTTGCCCAAGACCATTGGAAAACACATATTGATTAAAGCTATTAAGGGTTGCGTTATCAGGAAGGTTGAGAACCACTGTACTAGCAGAATCTATACAGCACGTTACTTAGATCATTTTTCAAACAACACTTTTTTTTTCAGTTCTAAGTGTATGCTTTACTGCTTTTAGGTAATTCTACACACAGGCCCCTTACCGCCCCCTTCCCCTTTTTTTCAGGTAGCTCTACACACGTTTTATATGTTTTCCTCCCTTTCGGGTTATTCTACACACTGGATTTACACGTTTTCCCCCTTTCGGAAAATTCTACACACATGATTTACACGTTTCTCCCCCTTTCGGATAATTCTACACACATGATTTACACGTTTCTCCCCCTTTCAGATAATTCTACACACAGGATTTACACGTTTCTCCCTTTCGGATAATTCTACACACAGGATTTACACATGCCCCCCCCCCCCCCTTTCCCGGTAAATCTATTCACATGATTTACACAACACATATGTTCAGGTAATTCCACACACAATTTACACACGTTCCCCCCCCCCCCCCCCAGCGAATCTACACGCATGATTTACACAACACATATGTTCAGGTAATTCTACACACTAAATTTAAACCCCCCCCCCCCCCCCCCCCAGGCAAATCTAAACACATGTATGTTCATGTAATTCTACATACAGGATTTACACACGTCTTCCACCCCCCTCCCCCCAGGCAAATCTACTCACATGATTTACACAACACATATGTTCAAGTAATTCTACATACAGGGTTACACACTCATCTCCCCCCTCCCCCCCCCCCCCCCTCCCCAGCAAATCTCACATGATTTACACAACACATATGTTCAGGTAATTCTACATACACGATTTACACACATCTCCCCCCCCCCCATCCCCCAGGCAAATCTACTCACATAATTTACACAACACATATGCTCAGGTAATTCTATACACATGATTTCCCCCCCCCCCCCCCCCCTGGCAAATCTAAACACCTGATTTACACAACACGTATGTTCAGGTAATTCTACATACAGGGGTTACTCACCTTAGTTTAAATGTTTCAGATTGTTGATAATGTGTAGAAACAAATTATGGACAGCTAGCAGACGTGAGGACTTATGGAAGCTGCTGGAATGTTTTTTGTTTTTATCCCATATATTAGGCATTCTTTACGGATTTAGTCAAAGTTGAATTAACAATAAATGATGTATATTCAGAGTGTGGTGTCTTTTATTTTAACTAACTCTTGGGTACCAAAGAACACATCATGTGTTGGTTTGTCTAATTAATTGTCCTCTGCTACCAAAAAAAAATTAATAACCTATAATATATATATATATATATATAATTAACAAAGAGACAATGTATTGATTGCACTCATAGAAAGAAGTAGAAAGACACACTAGACAACATAAAAATAGAAAGCTACAGATGCCGTGCCGGAAATCGAACCTGTCACTTCAAAATGGCATGTGCACCTCGCTATGGAAACAAGCGAATTAAGAACACAACCAGCTAGGCACCTCCCAAAAAAGGTATCTTCGTTGGCATGTCTGTCATACGGCTGAAAATCCACAACTATGGAACATGGACAAAATTCTTCTCTAACAATTTAAATGGCACCATAAGTTACAGAAATTTAAATTAACGAAGCATAGGTTGAATAACAAATACGGCAACAATTTATGAGCACAGCAGACCATAATGCTTTTTTTAGAATATACAAACATTAAAGAAAGAGATTTGATTGGTAGGTTTCATTGTGTTACACTTCATTCACTTCAAGGGTTCCCCCTCTGTTTATTTATGTAATAACCTAGAAGGGATGAATAGATTATTTTGTGTGTGGGTTCTGGAGCCCCGTTGTGAAGAAAACAAGAATAGACCCACTGCCTCCCCAACAAGCGTGTTGTAAGAGTCAACCAATTGGGGGCTTCCTTCTAAGTCGCAGCGCATCTAACTGAGAGGCAAGGAACCAACAATCTGTTAAACAGATGTGCACGCAACACTCAGGTTCTGGAATAAGACTTAAGTCCAGAGATGGATGCACAACCAGAACTTTCTGATGGAGCTACAGCAAGTGAAAACGAAGAAGATGGAGAGAATGGGATCAGAATATTTGCAAAGATACTTCTTTATGTTCACCATCTGTGAACTCTGGCAGAAAGTTCTGGTTGTTCTTCCACTTCTGGACTTTGGTCCTGCTCCAGGACTTGAGTTTTGCACGCAAATATTTTAGAAATCTGGCTCATTTATGTGCAGACTGTTGGTTACTGGCCTGTAAGGCAGCGGTTCTCAACATGTGGGTCGCGGCCATTTTGTGGCTTTGAACAACTTTTTTACAAGGGTCCCCCAAGACCATCGGAAATCACATACTGATTGGAAGTTATGAAGTTACAACGAAAATAATTGTATGGTTTGGGGTCACCACAACATGAAGAATGAATAAAAGGGTCGCAACATAAGGAACTGAATTAAAAGGTCGCAGCATTAGGAAGGTTGATAACCACTGCTCTAAGACTTGTACACATGAGGGATTCATAGACACAAAAATATACCTGTCAGCAGGTAGGGTGTCTAACAGACTTGTGAGAGATAATTTGATACTGTAATTGCTAAATGAATTTTGTTTTGTTTACAGGTGCCGCATATTGCCAGTTTATGGACTTGTTATTCCCAGGTACAGTTATGTGTCTGTCTGTCTGTTAGTTTGTGCAGGGCGGTTGAACTGGCAGCCTCTGGCCAAATCTGGCTCGCAGAGGCCTAGCAAGTGAAATGCCGATAGTTGCCAGTTGAATTGTTTTAATGATAATTTTATGCTGGAGCCCGCGTCGATCCTAATTTTGGCCCTGAGTGAACTTAGTTGAATAGCCCAGGTTTAGTACATCTTGAATGTAGTTTGTGCAGCTTAGTTTTACAGTTGTCTGAGAAGATGGTACAGATATGACTGTGATTTTAGGTCACAGACAGGGGGCAAAGGTGTTGTATGTAAAGGGATACTCTCTGGCACCAGCCGGCTCCTTGCTGGTTGTATGGAACCCCATACAAGATTTCTGTGATTATTCTTATTATTCTCCGTAGATTTCTGCTTATCAGTCCATTTGCTAAGCATCTATTCCTGCATGGGTCACAAATGGGGATAATGTATTTGAAGCTTTTAATGCTGCTCCATTGTCTTGTAGGGTCGCTCTTGTGGTCCAGATTGCTTCTCTCATTATCTGTTCTTACAAGAGAGGCTTTGCAGTTAGCTTTGGTTCATGTGGCAGAGCCAGCAAGACCCATATACTGTAGGTGTGCTATAAGCTCAAAGTGTCCAATCTGGGGGCTTGCATTTTGTTGGTCTGCACCTCTCTAGCCAAGCCTGTAATTCATAGATATAGGACTCTTATAGTAGATCTCGGAGAGAAAGGATTCTAATAGGCCTGAATTTGGACTGGCAGTAGATCTCGGAGAGAAAGGATTCTTATAGGCCTAAACTTGAACTGGCAGTAGATCTCGGAGAGAAAGGATTCTTGTAGGCCTGAACTTGAACTGGCAGTAGATATCCGAGAGAAAGGATTCTTATAGGCTTGAACTGGCAGTAGATGTCGGAGAGAAAGGATTCTTATAGGCCTAAACTGGCAGTAGATCTCATAAAGAAAGGATTCTTATAGACCTGAACTTGAACTGGCAGTAGATTTTGGCCACTAGAATTGCAGTATCAGAAAACATTGTGTGCCTCTGGCTGTCATTCCCCCCCCCCCCCCCCCCCCTCTCCCCGAACATCCGCCAAGAGTGCTTGCTGCTTTCTATATATGACAACTAGGTTCTGATGTTCACCAGATTAAATTTCTTCATGTACATTGAATGAGAATCCTGCTCAAACAAGACATAAGTTCACATATCCCTTACCTGGTTACTCAGTTGAGTATTAGTATCACAGGAAAATATTTGGTTTTTGATATGTTTTTATAAGCTTTTATTAATTTTAGTTTATTTTGTTTGTTATTCAGGGTATGATTTTAGGTCCAGTTTTTGTCCCTTTGAGAATAAAAGGAAGGATCCTGTTTGTCTCTCTTGTGCTGTTAAATTACTTAAGGAGTTTTGGGATTCAGTGTCACAGTTGTCATTGTGTAGGACATTGATGGACTTGTACATCAGTCAGATGATATAATGTACTGAGAGTTTTAGCCTCTCATTGAGTGGAGTTGATCAAAGTCCCAAATAAGCAGATTAATCTGCTGGTCTCTATAAAGATGCAGTCCGTGATGAACAGAGGCTCCGCATATGGAAGAGAGACAAACAGGCATGTCAGTTTTGCATTTTTGGAAACCTTGAATGGCAATACAAGTCTTTGTTCTGTCTGTGCCTTCCATATATACAATCCTCTCCTTGTGAGATGCAATTTTTCCTTGTTTTGAGACCCTGCCTTGGCTCTTGCTGCAGTATAGCCCTGCCATAAATACGGTCTAATGGCTGAACGAGGTTTCTGGGACCTCTCCACGTGTGATCCTCATCCACATGGTAGCACATTGTGTCATTGGGTGTTTATCGCTTGTGTGATGTCCTGGTGGGGTACAAATCTACTACTACTGTGCCTTCCATTGAGGGCAGATGATATTCATGTAAGTTTTCTAGGCAGGCTTTGTCAAGTAGCACCATCTGTAGATGCTGGCATATAGAACATTGTTACATATTGTTTATATCTTCTTCATTCTTCATTGTTTGTTCTATTGATGTAAATGCTTTGTGCCTGATCACAGCAAAGCTGCGAGATTTGCACCGTTCATCCAACTCTTTCAGGCATTTGTTTTCCGGGTTAGCCCTTCTGGTTTGTTTCTTGGGCCAATGAGGGACAATTAGCTCGTTACAGGCTGCATTCTTTAGAGACCCACATGAAGTAGTCCGCAGACCTGAGACTTTTGATTACCCACATACAATTGCTATCCTCAGCCTGTTAGACCTCTCTCTTTGCCTGTGGCACCTGTCTCATGAATGCTGTAGGGCAATTTGTGGGAAGTGTGCATCAGGCATGACTTCCACGTATGGTTATTACAGTCCGAGTTTGGCCAGTAGTAGTGGACATTGTGTGGTTATATGATAGTGTTCGGTAGAGTATTAAATTTGATATTCTGGGCTGTTTATATTTGAAATGTGAACAGATTCTTACAAAGACCCATCATGTTGATATATTTTAGTGCCTCGCTAGTGCAGTTGGCTATACCAGACTATGTGGCGACCAGGTGACGAACTACTTGTGGTCCAGGGGTAGGCAGAAAAGCCACATTTCTCCCAGATTTACAGTATCTATCCTGGAATCAAGACAGAAGGGTTGCAATTTCCATAGTACCGAGCCAAAGGGTTAATGACTCATGGTTTTTGACTACTTAAAAGAAAGTGTATTATAATAAAGAGTACAGTATTACAAATGATATATGTTAGTGCATAGTACAGTGTTACGTGTGGATATTTCAGGCAGTTTAAGTCTGAAAAAGGTGAAGTTCGGCACAAAGTTAGAGCATGAGTTCATCCAGAATTTCAAGGTGTTGCAGGTTTGCTTTAAGAAGCTGGGTGTGGACAAGGTGAGAGTTTAAACCTGCAGACAGCTTGACCTAACCACTTGCAGCACTGCTGAATTGTTGATGCTGCTGCGGCGGCTTCTACTTGCCTCCTGGAGCTTGTTTGGCCTCTCAGACATGCTTCTTGTCAGCTCATCTGCCACCAGTGATAAAAGATTGCTGAAAATATAATCAGAAATAAAATATAATCTTGTTAAACAGAAGTTTAGAATATATTATGTAACTTTTTACTGTTCCTACATTTTATCATCATCATCTGGTGCCTTGCCAAGTGGTATGGGTTTTCTTCTCTGTGTCCACCAGCTGTAAACTCCAGTGGAAAGTTCTGGTTGCTCATCCACTTCTAGACGTTGGTCTTACTCCATAGCTTGAATCTGGCTTATTTGCATGCAGAGACTGTTTATTCCTTGCCTCTCAGGCTAAAGCATTTCAGCTTTAAAGGAAACCCCCTAGTTAATACATTCCTCGACTCTTACGACATGCTTGCTAGGTAGGCAGTAGGTCTATTCTATCTCTCCCCCCACCCCCGCAGTGGGGTCCCAGAACCCACACGAGAATTGGGTAATCGTGCTTTCGATCTTCAGAGAAATTATCGTTTTGTCGCCAATACCTTTCCAAGCATAACAAAAAAGGTGTCGGTAATTTTTCTCTCATTGTATTTCCGTTAAATCTCCAGTTGTCACCGGTTTCAGTTTGTACTTCTCTTAATTAATGTGACCAAAAAATTGTGACTGCCTCCATCTGTTTGTGTTAAGTTCCACTGAGCTCAGAAATGTCGAGAGATTTGTTTGTTTTGTCTAAAGCATAGTTTATTTTGCTGTTCATTGTCAGTTTTCTTAGTGCGTATCTATTTCATCCTTGCGATATTGTTTCTGTCTAATACAGATTGTTGGGGCACAATCTAGTTTTTTTTCTCTTCTTGCCATGACATTTTCACTTAAGTGTCATTGATGCCTTTGTACCCAGTGTCTGTCTAATGATGTTGCATTTGGCTGATGTCTCATTTTATCCTTAGTGTCTTGTTCTTCTTTCTTGCGTCCCTCGGCTAGAAACTGGTGAAAAGTTCTGGTTGTTTTCCTTCACTTCTTGGTGGTTTTGTTCCAGGACTTGAATGTTGTGTGCACATCCGTTTTACAGGTCTGGCTTTTTTTTATGCACACTGTTGGCTCCTCACCTCTCAGACACTGTCTGAAAGAAAAAGTGATCCTAACTACACTGATTATGCCCCCTGTTAAAGAATCTGTTTCAAGGATGACAGTCGACAGTTGAGATGTGTAGATATGTCTTGACTGGTTTTAGACATGGTCAGGGTGAATTGCCGTCTGGTTCCGTCGCCTCACTGTCTGTGGTTCTTCGCCACACCGTGTGTGGTTCAATGCCTCACTGTGTGTTTCAGCGCTTCACCGTCTGTGGTTCATCGCCCCCACCGTGTGTGATTCAATTCCACACCGTGTGTGGTTCAAGGCGTCTGCATCCCATCTTTAGTGTCTGCATTTCTCTCTTGGGATCTGTGAGGGTCTGTAGAGGCAGAGCTATACTTCTGCCCTTTGTCCCTTGATGAGTATATGTCCTCAGCCAGCCTTTACTAAGTATCCTTTATCAACTCTTGCAGCCGTCATCCAGTGTTGTGAAGTTTATACTGTTCACTCAAACACTCTATTTATTACTGTGACTTGTATCATTAATTATCTATAGACTCATGCTGTCACAGACTACTGTAACGTGTAGTACATTTTCTATTCCATTTCCTACTTTCATTCATTACTGTGACATCTGGTGTTATGTAGACATACCACTTACGAGACTGCAGATAAATAAAAGCACAAGCATATGTGTGTATATGACACTGGTGGAGATGAGCTGAAAAGTGGTTTGAAAAATTGCATGCCTTTCCACAACTTATATAACCTGTTTTTGTTGAGCCTGTTAAGATATCTTTTAAAAGAAATCTGTTAGACTCAAAAATGAACAAAACTGACCAGAAATGTTAGACAAAGCTAACTATTGCAATAAGAAAATAACAGTACATGAGAACTATTAAACTACAAAGCCAGAAAACAATATGAGAATTATTAAACTACAAAGCCAGGAAACAACATGAGAATTATTAAACTACAAAGCCAGGAAACAACATGAGATTTATTAAACTACAAAGCCAGGAAACAACATGAGATTTATTAAACTACAAAGCCAGGAAACAACATGAGATTTATTAAACTACAAAGCCAGGAAACAACATGAGATTTATTAAACTACAAAGCCAGGAAACAACATGAGAATTATTAAACTACAAAGCCAGGAAACAACATGAGAACTATTAAACTACAAAGCCAGGAAACAACATGAGATTTATTAAACTACAAAGCCAGGAAACAACAGAATTATTAAACTACAAAGCCAGGAAACAACAGAATTATTAAACTACAAAGCCAGGAAACAACATGAGAACTATTAAACTACAAAGCCAGGAAACAACAGAACTATTAAACTACAAAGCCAGGAAACAACAGAACTATTAAACTACAAAGCCAGGAAACAACATGAGAACTATTAAACTACAAAGCCAGGAAACAACATGAGAACTATTAAACTACAAAGCCAGGAAACAACATGAGAACTATTAAACTACAAAGCCAGGAAACAACATGAGAACTATTAAACTACAAAGCCAGGAAACAACAGAACTATTAAACTACAAAGCCAGGAAACAGCATGAGAACTATTAAACTACAAAGCCAGGAAACAACATGAGAATTATTAAACTACAAAGCCAGGAAACAACATGAGATTTATTAAACTACAAAGCCAGGAAACAACATGAGATTTATTAAACTACAAAGCCAGGAAACAACATGAGAATTATTAAACTACAAAGCCAGGAAACAACATGAGAATTATTAAACTACAAAGCCAGGAAACAACATGAGAATTATTAAACTACAAAGCCAGGAAACAACATGAGAATTATTAAACTACAAAGCCAGAAAACAACATGAGAATTATTAAACTACAAAGCCAGAAAACAACATGAGAATTATTAAAATACAAAGCCAGGAAACAACATGAGAATTATTAAACTACAAAGCCAGGAAACAACATGAGAACTATTAAACTACAAAGCCAGAAAACAACAGAACTATTAAACTACAAAGCCAGGAAACAGCATGAGAATTATTAAACTACAAAGCCAGGAAACAACATGAGATTTATTAAACTACAAAGCCAGGAAACAACATGAGAATTATTAAACTACAAAGCCAGGAAACAACATGAGATTTATTAAACTACAAAGCCAGGAAACAACATGAGAATTATTAAACTACAAAGCCAGAAAACAACATGAGAATTATTAAACTACAAAGCCAGGAAACAACATGAGATTTATTAAACTACAAAGCCAGGAAACAACAGAATTATTAAACTACAAAGCCAGGAAACAACATGAGAATTATTAAACTACAAAGCCAGGAAACAACATGAGAATTGTTAAACTACAAAGCCAGGAAACAACATGAGAATTATTAAACTACAAAGCCAGGAAACAACATGAGAATTATTAAACTACAAAGCCAGGAAACAACATGAGATTTATTAAACTACAAAGCCAGGAAACAACATGAGAATTATTAAACTACAAAGCCAGGAAACAACATGAGAATTATTAAACTACAAAGCCAGGAAACAACATGAGATTTATTAAACTACAAAGCCAGGAAACAACATGAGATTTATTAAACTACAAAGCCAGGAAACAACATGAGAATTATTAAACTACAAAGCCAGGAAACAACATGAGAATTATTAAACTACAAAGCCAGGAAACAACATGAGAATTATTAAACTAAAAAGACAGTATAACAACATGAGAATTGTAAAACTAAAAAGACAGTATAACAACATGAGAATTGTAAAACTAAAAAGCTAGTATAACAACATGAGAATTGTTAAACTAAAAAGGCAGCAGAACGCATGAGAATTCTCAGCAATATTGTGGTCGGGCTAGCATTCTCCAGGGTAATCACTAGGGAATTGTACAGGATCATCAGAAAACATTTGATTTGTTCAAGGATACGTTAGCAACAAATGAGCTAATAAGTTATCATTTATAACACAGCCGTAGATTGGCCTGCCTAACACTTTGCATGTTTTGTAAAAACATTCTCAACTAACAATCTCTGCACCTGTATGAACAAGATGTTGCAGTATGGGTCTTTGTCAGGCGTCTTCTTGTGTGTTCTTGTATTTTTTTTCCAAGCGGGGGTTGTGTCTCTCACTGTTTGTGGGTCAGCATGGGGTGACTTGTGTGTTTGTCCTGTGGGTGTTTTCAAGGACTTTTGTTGTCCTGTGGGATGTTTTCAGGGACATCATGTCCTGTGGTGTACATTTACCTGTTTGTATGTAGACCATGCAATATTGAAACATTTTTAACCATCTTTCCTCACACAGGCTCAGTGGCATTAAAAAAAATTAAATTCAATACAAAATTAGAACACGAGTTTATACAGAACTTCAAGAGCCTCCAAGCCTGTTTCCAGAAGTTGGGTGTGGATAAGGTGAGTCTGTGGCGGCCCGTCCATGGAGGGAGGTACCTAGCATAGGTTCAAGGGGTTGGGTTAGTAAAAGATCTTAACTTGTGGGTTCAGTGGTGGGATGCTAGTTTGAGGATTATGTCGGGGGGGGGGGGGGGGGAGGGGGGGGGGGGGGGGGGGGCCTGGTCTGTGGATTCAGGGGAACCTAGTCTGGGGATTTATTTTCAGGAGGTCAAACCTGAGAAGCCATGTTTATGAGGTCTGGGAATTCATATTCAGTGGATCTAGTCTTGGAATTCACTTTCAATGCGCTTTGTGGGGATTCAGTTTGGGGAGCCTGGGGATTCAGTTAGGGAAGTCTTGTATTCCGTTATAGGAGTCTGGCCTGGGCGACTCAGCTAGGGGAGTCTAGCATAGGAATTCAGGGGTCTAGCCTGGAGATCGGTTAAGAGAGTCAAGTCTCTATAGTCTAAACTGGGAGTTGACTCAAAGTCTAACCCGTGGATTCACTGAGATAGTCTGTCTTAGTTGGTGCCAGTATCTAGTTCAGATTTGTTGGTAGGGCTAAATGTGTACCACAGAAATCATGATTGGGCTTGTCTGGCACCAGACTGCTTACTATGAAAAATATTACAGGCTAGTTAAGTGACCTTTGACCCTGTCAGACCAGACTTTTGCTGTAGTTACATTTTTATTTTGTACTTTATTTTACTCCTGCTTGTATATTAGAAATTGTTTTGGCTTTTTAGGTCAGACATATTTGATTTTCCAAATTGCTGCACCCATTCAAAACTGGTGTTTTTTTGTGTTGAATGATGTCTCTGGTTTTGTTTAACATTTCTGCATTTATGTGTGTGTCACACTGTGTAGTTTGTTGTCCATAGGGGGAATGATCGTTGAGTGTTGTCCATAGGGGGAATGATCGTTGAGTGTTGTCTGTAGGGGGAATGATTGTTGAGTGTTGTCCATAGAGGGAATGATTGTTGAGTGTTGTCCATAGGGGGAATGATTGTTGAGTGTTGTCCATAGAGGGAATGATTGTTGAGTGTTATCCAGAGGAAATGATTGTTGAGTGTTGTCCATAGAGGGGATGATCGTTGAGTGTTGTCCATAGGGGGAATGATAGTTGAGTGTTGTCCATAGAGGGAATGATTGTTGAGTGTTATCCAGAGGAAATGATTGTTGAGTGTTGTCCATAGAGGGAATGACTGTTGAGTGTTCTCCATAGGGGGAATGATTGTTGAGTGTTGTCCATAGAGGGAATGACTGTTGAGTGTTCTCCATAGGGGAAATGATTGTTGAGTGTTGTCCATAGAGGGAATGATCGTTGAGTGTTGTCCACGGAGGGAATGATTGTTGAGTGTTTTCCGTAAAGGGAATGATCGTTGAGTGTTGTCCGTAGAGGGAATGATCATTGAGTGTTGTCCATAGGGGGAATGAGTGTTGTCTGTAGAGGGAATGACCGTTGAGTGTTGTCGATATAGGGAATGATTGTTGAGTGTTGTCCATTGAGGGAATAATTGTTGAGTGTTGTCCATGGAGGGAATGATTATTGAGTGTTGTCCATAGAGGGAATGATTGTTGAGTGTTGTCCATAGGGGGAATGATTATTGAGTGTTGTCCATAGGGGGAATGATTGTTGAGTGTTGTCCATAGGGGGAATGATTGTTGAGTGTTGTCCATAAAGGGAATGATTGTTGAGTGTTGTAAATAGAGGGAATGATTGTTGAGTGTTGTCCATAGAGGGAATGATTGTTGGGTGTTATAAATAGAGGGAATGAGTGTTGTCCATAAAGGGAATTATCGTTGAGTGTTGTCCATAGAGGGAATTATCGTTGAGTGTTGTCCATAGAGGGAATGATTGTTGAGTGTTGTCCATAGGGGAATGATTGTTGAGTGTTGTCCATAGAGGGAATGATTATTGAGTGTTGTCCATAGGGGGAATGATTATTGAGTGTTGTCCATAGGGAGAATGATTATTGAGTGTTGTCCATAGGGGGAATGATTGTTGAGTGTTGTCCATAGGGGGAATGATTGTTGAGTGTTGTCCATAGAGGGAATGATTGTTGAGTGTTGTCCATAGAGGGAATGATTGTTGAGTGTTGTCCATAGAGGGAATGATTGTTGAGTGTTGTCCATAGAGGGAATGATTGTTGAGTGTTGTCCATAGAGGGAATGATAAAGGTTGTGTGTAGTGGATCTCCGACTCTCTCTTTTCTTGTTAGTTAACTCTCTTAGACTGCTGTCTCCACACTTAAAGGTTGTGTGTAGTGGATCTCCAACACTCTTTTCTTGTTAGTTAACTCTCTTAGACTGCTGTCTCCACACATGAAGGTTGTGTGTAGTGGATCTCCAACACTCTCTTGTCTTGGTAGTTAACTCTCTTAGACTGCTGTCTCCACACATAAAGGTTGTGTGTAGTGGATCTCCAACACTCTCTTGTCTTGGTAGTTGACTCTCTTAGACTGCTGTCTCCACACATGAAGGTTGTGTGTAGTGGATCTCCAACACTCTCTTGTCTTGGTAGTTGACTCTCTTAGACTGCTGTCTCCACACATTAAGGTTGTGTGTAGTGGATCTCCAACACTCTCTTGTCTTGGTAGTTGACTCTATTAGACTGCAGTCTGTACATATTATGGTTGTGTGTAGTGGATCTCCAACACTCACTGCCTCTTGTCTTGGTAGTTGACTCTCTTAGACTGCTGTTTGTCCATCTCTTGATGTTGTCCGTCCACTTGTCTCCCTTTTGCCTTTGATCTTTCCCTCCAGTATGGCTTTTCTTCTTCTTCTTCTTGTTCACCGGCTGTGAATTCCGGCGGTAAGTCGCGGTTGTTCGTCCAAAATGGACTTTTGGCTTTTACCTTGACCTGAGTTTTGCGTGTACATCCGTTTTACTGGCTTATTTGTTCGCAGTTCTCGTTCCCCACCTTTCCGGCAGATGTACTCCGCCTTCGGGGGAGTATGGCTTTTAAGGAGTGTTATGCCTTTTAATCTGGCAAAAAATATTTTTTCACCTTACCTGGTATCCGTTTTAGGCGGGGTCGACATGGGAGCGAAGATCAGTTTTGACCCAACTAAAATCCACCTTTAAGCAGATACAAACCCAGGAACTTTTAGCCTCCCATGTGAGTGTTCAGCCACTATGCAACCACAGCTCCCATGTCTAGCCACCATAGCTCCAGTGTCTACCCACCGAGGCCCCCAGTGCAGCATAGACCAGGGTTAGTCAACTGGCAGCCCGTGGGCCAAATCTCAGAGGCCTAGCAGGTGGCCTACGGATCACTGGCAATTGTAGTGTATTAATGATCTTTTTATACTGGGGCTAGGGCCCCTGCTCCTTGATGATCTCCATATTCAAAATGTTGGCCCCTGAGTACACTGAATGGAATAGACCATGCAGAAGTAATCTTTTTTAAGTGGGCAGGAATTTTCTAGGGATGTGTGATTGACCATTCACTGAGGGACACTTGTTCCTCCTCCGGAGAGTCGCTGTTGTCATCGTCAGATGCATGTTTGGCTTCTTTTGTGGCTGTTATATTACAAAAACTGAGTGTTGCATGCACATCCATTTCACAGGTCTGAATCATTTACATGCAGACTGTTGGTTCCTTGCCTCTCAGGCAGATGTACTCCGACTTCAAAGGAAATTCCAAATTGGTCGACTCTTAGTCTTGTTCCAGGACTCGAATTTTGCATGCACATTTAAAAAAATGTGTTTTTGATTTTAATATTTATAACCCCATTGTGGGGAAAACAAGAATAGACCCACTACCTCCCCAAAGGCATGTCGTAAGAGTCGACTAATTGGGGAGCTTCCTTTGAAGTCGGAGTGCATCTGCAGGAGAGGCAAGAAACCAACAGTCTGTATTCAAGAGAATGAGATCTGTAAAACTGATGCACACACAACACTCAGGTTCTGGAGCAGGACTGCAGTTCAGTAGTGGACGAGCAACCAGAACTTTCCGCTAGAGTGTACAGCTGGTGAACGCGACGAAGAAGAAGAATATTTATAAATATTACACCTGAAAAAATCTGCAGTGAAAGCAAGAGGCACCCCCTAGGACAAGATTAATTATAAACATTAAAATGCTTCTACATCGACACGGAATGACAATAACCAATACTACCCATCGAGCAATGGATCGCAAACGGTTCCTTCCCACAGTGCCTGATGATGATGATGACGAATGTTTATAAATTATAATTTCTTTATTAAGACTTAAAAAGCATGAGATGTCTAGCTGAACTTTGAAAATAAGAGAGCTCCACAACTTTAAACCACTGGTTTTGATTGTAATTTTTTTATTTGCATGTTGTCTGTGGGTATGTTTTTTATTTGCTGTTTTGAATGTTATGTTTACCTTTATCTTTTGTGGCTTAAAGTATTTGCTTGACACCCTGTGCATGTTGTATCAACAAATAACAATGTTTACCTTGGTTCCTGTCTGATAGTCCTTCTGTTGCATGCTTGTTTCCAACCTAATACCTGACACTGTCTGATGTTTTTATTTACAGCTTTTGTTTGAAATGATTATTTAATAGTGTGTAGTTATTGCTTGGGCTGCGTGGTCTTGAGGCATGGCGTCCGCCTCGAGTAAAATAAAAAAAAGTAAAGGACCCTTTTCCACGGCTTAAGGCGTGTAGGGCATATAGGGCTAGACCTACATTTTTATAGACCAACGGCACAAGATGGGTGATGTGGTCAGCATCACGCCGGCCGCCTTTACTTCCAGGAATTTGCACTCAGTACCCACTCAAGGCTGGGTCGACCTGGGAGTCGAGGTCATTTTTTAAGAAAAGTCCGCCTCCGCCAGGGAGCGAACGCACGACTTTCCGATCCGCGGCGCACTTTTAGCCGCTCGGCAACGGCGACTCCCTCCGCCTCGCGTGCTGGAGAGCCAGTTTTCAAGCCCCGGTGAAGGCTGGATTTTTTCACGTGGACTTCTAGTAATTTCCCCTGGTCACTGGGTAGTAAGATCGGAGCCTGTGTGTATTGTTGTTCATGTCCCTTGGCAGTTGGAAATTTAAACAAAGTAGCTTAACGGCGCTGCCTGGGCAAAATTTGTAGTTAAAAATCTACCCAAAGTATTTCAGGATCCTCGCCAGTGCTATGGAGTTCGGGCACCGCACTGAGATTCTTCCGACTCAAGACTTGAGTCAGAAGTAGAACGGAGCACTTATGGGTTACTTCCCTTATGCCATAATGTTGGTCCGTTGTCCAAACCTAAACCAGTTATTGCCGTACTGTGAATGCTCACACAGATGTGCTCATGCATATCTCTTACAGGCACATGTGTATGGCCACATGTATGACCAGAAGCAGTCATGATGTAGTGGCTAGAAGCTGGCCTGCAGATCTGAAAGGTGGTGTTCAGGTCCTGATGAATCCTGGCTTTTTTTTAAAATGACCTCGGCCCCCAGGTCAGCCCTGCCAAGCTCTAAATGAGTACCAGGTAAAATCCTGGGAAATAAAGGCGACCATTGTGATGTTGACTGCATCACCCACCGAGTGTCAATTGGTCGATAAACTATAGGTGTAGCCCTATATGCCCAGTACACCTGAAGGCGTCGAAAAGGGTCCTTTACTTTTACTTACCCACACAGTCATGCACAAAAACAGTCACACCGTACTCATATACAGTCGTACATATACACACACACACACTCAGTCATACATGTGCTTTCACACATAATTATGCATATACAATATACTTACATGCATAGTCACACAGGCACAAACATTTACTCACATGTATTGTCACAGACACACACTCACATGCATGTGTGGATATTACTGTGCAGATAATGGAAACGTTTCTTGATCTCTCCATGTATGCATCATGCCCATTTCTAATTTGTCAGCATGTGTGTGGTTTTTTCACACTATGTCTGTACATGCTTATATGTTACTGACTTACGTGTTACTCACACACGCACATACATGACATGTGCGCAAAAGATATGACTGATCACTTTTGCTTTGTTGGTTCTGTGGAATAGATTTTGTCAGTCATGTCGTAAAAGACCAATGTTTATTTTATTGCCGCCTAGCTGTAAACCACATTACAGTGTGCCAACCACCCCATTTAAGGACTCGAAAAGGAACACTGGCTTTCCTCGCATTAATTCCGGGCCCTAATGGAAAGAGGGGGGAAAGAGAATAGACCCCTTCCCCCCCCCCCCCCCCCCCAACAAGGCCACTAATTATGAGTCTTTCCTAAGTCGTGGTGCGTCTGCTTATGAGACGAGGAACCAACACTTTGCATACAAATAAGCCGGATATGTAAAACCATGTGCACACAAAACACAAGTTCTGAAACAAGATTTGAGTCTAGAAGTGGGCGTACAATCAGAACTTTGCACCAGAGTTTACAGCTAGTGAACACGCAGAAGAAGACTTGAGTCTAGAAGTGGGCGTACAATCAGAACTTTGCACCAGAGTTTACAGCTAGTGAACACGCAGAAGAAGACTTGAGTCTAGAAGTGGGCGTACAATCAGAACTTTGCACCAGAGTTTACAGCTAGTGAACACGAAGAAGAAGACTTGAACACTGGCAACAGTCGAGTGTGATCTAAAATACCAAATAAGGTGTCCATTCCTCTTTGAGGTTCTGTGTAAGTCTTAACTTTATAATGGTCACATGCCTTACTGGACCCTCTTGTCTATATGTGTTGTACTGAGGTGTTGTCAGAAGGCTATATCTATGTAAAAAGTAAGTAAAGGACCCTTTCCACGCCTTTAGGCATATAGGGCTAGACCTATATTTTGATAGACCAACGGCACAAGATGGGTGATGTGGTCAGCATCACGCCGGCCGCCTCTACTTCCCGGGATTGCACCCGGTACCCACTCAAGGCTGGGTCGACCTGGGAGCCAAGGTCATTTTTGAAGAAAAGTCCGTCTCCACCAGGGAGCGAACCCACGACCTTCCGATCCGCGGAGCGCGTCTAGCCGCTCTGCCACGGCGACTCCCGCTATATCTATGGCTTTTTGTTTAACCTTATGCCAGAATGGGAGCTGTCATGGTGCAGTGGCTAGATGCTTGCTGGTGGGTCCAAAGCCTGGCTTATTTCAGAAAGTACCCTGGCTGCCAGATTGACCTAGTCTTAAATGGGTACCAGGCAATGTTCTGGGAAGTAAAGGCGCCAGTGTGATGTTGACCATATCACCCACCGAGTGATGATTGACCTGCAAAATATAGATCTAGCCCTATATGCCTAGTGTGTCTAAACGTGGGGAAAAGGGTCCCTTTACTTACCCTGTGATAGTGGACTGTGTATGTAACATCTCCTTTAACAGTCTGTACGTAACGTTACTTTTTGTAACATATCTTTCTATAACTATCTCTGTGCAACTGTAAACTCCTGTGGCAAATTTTGGTTGTTTGTCCACTTCTGGACTTCAGTCTTGTTCCAGAACTTGAATTTTGCATGCTCTTCAGTTTTACAGATCTGGATTATTTGTATGCAGACTGTTGGTTCCATACCTCTCAGACAGATGCATTCCGACTTTAGAGATAACACCCTGATTAGTCGACTTCTGTGACATGCTTGTTAGAAGGGCTATGAGTCTGTTATCTCATCCCCCCCAACCCCCAACTACCACCACCACACTGGAACCTTAGAACCCACCCAGGGATGGGTTTGACTGCACATGTCCCATTAAACAGCTTCTGTTCATCAGTGCCATAGTGTTGTGTAAACATATCTACTCGAACAGTCTCTGTCCATCTGCTGTATAACTTGTGACATTTCTCCATCAACAGATAGTCCCCGTGGAAAGGCTGGTCAAGGGGAAGTTCCAGGACAACTTTGAGTTTGTCCAGTGGTTCAAACGTTTCTTCGATGCCAACTATGCCGGTCAGAACTATGACCCGGTTCTGGCCCGCGGTAGCGGCAGCGGTGAACAGTTGAGCGCCCCTAAGAGCATGCAGGTCAAAGCTCCTGCAGCGAAGCCGTCGGTCACTCGTACAGCACAGCCTCCTGCCCAGAAAGGTCAGCTTCAACAGAATGTAAATTATCATCAAATGCTTGCCAGCCGGCGTAGGCATTCACGCCTCTCCACAAATCTCAGTCTTTGGTATTCTGGATCAGTTCCACTAATGATATTCCTCCATGCCACTGTCTTAAGCCATCCACCATTATTTCTTTTGGTCTGCCTCTGTCTCTTCTACCAGTGATCTTTCCAGTCGTCACAATATTTTCCAGTGCTCCTTTTATCATCACATGACCAAAGAACTTTGTCTCCTCTCGTTGTTAAATATATTGTTTTACTTTCATTAGCCATTTCCAGGCAATCATTGTTAGTTATTTTGGCAATTGCAACATTCTTTTCAAGAGTCACATCTTGGTTGCTTCCAAACTCTTCTTAATTTGTTTGCTTACATTCCAAGATTCACTGCCATACAACAGATCAGACTCGTAACATTTCAGTACTCGTTTTCTGATGTTTAATGAGAGTGATTTATTACATAAGATACTTTTCATCTTCTGAAATTATCTACATTTTAAGTATGTCTAGGAAACGTCTGGTCAGTTAGTCATAGCTGGAGGCAGGGCAGAGGCATTCTTCTTCTTCTGCCTTCTATCCCCCAGTGGAGCGTAGGCCCTCAACCAACTCACGCCAAGTCGTTCTATCTTCACTGTTGCATGCAACTCATCCCGTATCTACCAGATTTTTTCTACTTTGCTCTCTAGCCCCCGTACTCCGCGTGTTTTTTGGTCCGCCTTTATTTTTATGCCCTTGTTGGTTCCAGTGCAGACTTTCTAGTTATATTTTTCTCAGGTTTTCTCAATGTGCATCCTATCTATCTAGTTCTAACGTCTTTTTTCAAAAAAAAACTTTTTGTTTCACTGGATCTTGCTAGTTCTCTCTCTAAATGGACAAAACTCAACAATCACTCACTTTATGGACAACACACCCAAAACTCAACATGAGCAATTCTATCATACCTACCATTTAATTCCACCTATTCTCCGCAGGTACCAGTTAATTAATATTTATTAGTAATTGTTTTAGTTGTTTTCCAAGTTTCCGCTCCATACGACAGTACTGATTGCAGAGGGTATTGGAGGCTTATTATAGCCAACCTTCAGTGTGGAGATGGCACTTGATTCCTTCAATTGCAGATGCCTCCAGCTGAAAGCACAGCTAGACACTCCACCAGCAAGTCGTAAGGTCTGGGGTTCAAATCCCTATTGAATCTGGAAAGGGACGATATACCCAATACGCTTAAGGGCGTGGGGAAAGAGTCCTTTATTTATTCTGTTCCAAAAAAGGCTGTGCCGATTCTAGCACTTTTGGGATCCAAAGTGTTGAAGAGTGACACCAGAGTTGGAGTCAGTACTCACATCAGTGTTGAAGTTAGTACTGATCTAATGTTGAAGTCCGTACTGACATCAGTGTTGGCGTTAGTGCTGACCTAATGTTGGTGTTAGTACTGACCTAATGTTGGCGTTAGTGCTGACCTAATGTTGGTGTTAGTACTGACCTAATGTTGGCGTTAGTGCTGACCTAATGTTGGCGTTAGTGCTGACCTAATGTTGGCGTTAGTGCTGACCTAATGTTGGCGTTAGTGCTGACCTAATGTTGGCGTTAGTGCTGACCTAATGTTGGCGTTAGTGCTGACCTAATGTTGGCGTTAGTGCTGACCTAATGTTGGCGTTAGTGCTGACCTAATGTTGGTGTTAGTACTGACCTAATGTTGGTGTTATTACTGACCTAATGTTGGTGTTAGTGCTTACTTAATGTTGGAGTTAGGGCTAACCTAATGTTGGAGTTAGTGCTGACTTAGTATTGGTGCTGGCCTAATGTTGGAGTTAGGGCTCACCTAATGTTGTATTTAGTGCTCACCTAATTTTGTAGTTAGTACTGACCTAATGTTGTAGTTAGTGCTCACCTAATGTTGTAGTTAGTACTGACCTAATGTTGTAGTTAGTGCTCACCTAATTTTGTAGTTAGTACTGACCTAATGTTGTAGTTAGTGCTCACCTAATGTTGTAGTTAGTACTGACCTAATGTTGGAGTTAGTGCTCACCTAATTTTGTAGTTAGTACTGACCTAATGTTGTAGTTAGTGCTCACCTAATTTTGTAGTTAGTACTGACCTAATGTTGTAGTTAGTGCTCACCTAATGTTGGAGTTAGTACTGACCTAATGTTGTAGTTAGTGCTCACCTAATGTTGTATTTAGTGCTCACCTAGTTTTGTAGTTAGTACTGACCTAATGTTGGAGTTAGTGCTCACCTAATTTTGTAGTTAGTACTGACCTAATGTTGGAGTTAGTGCTCGCCTATTTTGTAGTTAGTACTGACCTAATGTTGTAGTTAGTGCTCACCTAATTTTGTAGTTAGTACTGACCTAATGTTGTAGTTAGTGCTCACCTAATGTTGTAGTTAGTACTGACCTAATGTTGTAGTTAGTGCTCACCTAATGTTGTAGTTAGTACTGACCTAATGTTGTAGTTAGTGCTCACCTAATGTTGTAGTTAGTACTGACCTAATGTTGGAGTTAGTGCTCACCTAATTTTGTAGTTAGTACTGACCTAATGTTGTAGTTAGTGCTCACCTAATTTTGTAGTTAGTACTGACCTAATGTTGTAGTTAGTGCTCACCTAATGTTGTAGTTAGTACTGACCTAATGTTGTAGTTAGTGCTCACCTAATGTTGTAGTTAGTACTGACCTAATGTTGTAGTTAGTGCTCACCTAATTTTGTAGTTAGTACTGACCTAATGTTGTAGTTAGTGCTCACCTAATGTTGGAGTTAGTACTGACCTAATGTTGTAGTTAGTGCTCACCTAATGTTGTATTTAGTGCTCACCTAGTTTTGTAGTTAGTACTGACCCAATGTTGGAGTTAGTGCTCACCTAGTTTTGTAGTTAGTACTGACCTAATGTTGGAGTTAGTGCTCACCTAATTTTGTAGTTAGTACTGACCTAATGTTGTAGTTAGTGCTCACCTAATGTTGTAGTTAGTACTGACCTAATGTTGTAGTTAGTGCTCACCTAATGTTGTAGTTAGTACTGACCTAATGTTGTAGTTAGTGCTCACCTAATGTTGTATTTAGTGCTCACCTAGTTTTGTAGTTAGTACTGACCTAATGTTGGAGTTAGTGCTCACCTAGTTTTGTAGTTAGTACTGACCTAATGTTGGAGTTAGTGCTCACCTAATTTTGTAGTTAGTACTGACCTAATGTTGGAGTTAGTGCTCACCTAATGTTGGAGTTAGTGCTCACCTAATTTTGTAGTTAGTACTGACCTAATGTTGTAGTTAGTGCTCACCTAATGTTGTAGTTAGTGCTCACCTAATGTTGGAGTTAGTGCTCACCTAATTTTGTAGTTAGTACTGACCTAATGTTGGAGTTAGTGCTCACCTAATTTTGTAGTTAGTACTGACCTAATGTTGGAGTTAGTGCTCACCTCACTAGTGGTGTTAGTACTGACACTATTGATGTTTGCTTGCTTGTAGTGTCTGCCGTCAAACTGCCAAGCAAAGCCAGTCCCGTGTCCAGCGTCGTCAAGAAGTCACCTGGAGTAGTGGCCAACCATGCTGGTGGAGACAACCATCTTGTTGAAGAGCTTCGCAGCCAGGTGGGTACAGACAAGTCTCTGCAGTTAAACATTCCTTCGCTTTGCTCATTGATAAAGACTTTTGTTGAAACGTTTGCTTAATATCTTTGTGTTTGCATCTCAGCACACATTCTGTCATTCTTTGTGACACCTTTTCAGCAGTCATCGCTCTGTTTTACATGTTTTTGTTTGGTTATATTTGACTGTTTTGTCCAAAATTTCTAATTAAATATATTTGACTTTTATCTACAACAGGTTTGGATATATTTGACTATTTTATCCAGTTTGTATTGGATATTTTTGACTATTTTATCCACAGTTTGTATTGGATGTATTTGACTGTTTTAGTTGCAGTGGGTTTAGATATATTTGACTATTTTATCCACATTTTGAATTGGATGTATTTGACTGTTTTAGTTGCAGTGGGTTTAGATATATTTGACTATTTTATCCACAATTGGTATTTGGATATAATTGGCTGTTTTATTGACAATTTGTATTTGGATATATTTGACTGTTGTAGCGGCAACTTTGGTTTGGATATTTTTAACTGTTTTATTTACAGTTTATGTTTAAAATATATTTGACTGTTTCAGCTACAGTTTGATTGAATATATTTGACTGTTTTTTATATTTTTGCAGTGTGTGGAAATATTTGTCTGTTTTAGCCATAAACTATGTTGTTTGGAAATATTTGACTATTTAGTCCACAGCTCGGATTTTTGGTATTTTTGACTAACTAACTTAAGTTTATGTTTGGGCATTTTTAACCATTTTAGACACTTGTGCTGTTTGGGTATATTTGACTGTTTGAGCCACAATGTGTTTGTATATATTTGACTGTTTTATTCCACAACTTGTGATATTTGGATATATTTTACTGTTTTGGGCACAACTTGTGATGTGTAAATTGTTGACTGTTTTAACCACAGCCTGTGACCATTTGAAATAATTGACTGTTGTACCTACAACTTGTGTTGCATAGATATATTTGACTGTTTGACCTACAACTTGGGTTGCATAGATATATTTGACTGTTTGACCTACAACTTGGGTTGCATAGATATATTTGACTGTTTGACCATCTTGTGTTGCTTGGATATATTTGACTGTTTGACCTACAACTTGGGTTGCTTGGATATATTTGACTGTTTGACCTACAACTTGGGTTGCTTGGATATATTTGACTGTTTGACCTACAACTTGGATTGCATAGATATATTTGACTGTTTGACCTACAACTTGTGTTGCTTGGATATATTTGACTGTTTGACCTACAACTTGTGTTGCATAGATATATTCGACTGTTTGACCTACAACTTGGGTTGCTTGGATATATTTGACTGTGTGACCTACAACTTGTGTTGCTTGGATGTATTTGACTGTTTGACCTACAACTTGGATTGCATGGATATATTTGACTGTTTGACCTACAACTTGGGTTGCTTGGATATATTTGACTGTTTGACCTACAACTTGTGTTGCTTGGATATATCTGACTGTTTGACCTACAACTTGTGTTGCTTGGATATATCTGACTGTTTGACCTACAACTTGGGTTGCATAGATATATTTCACTGTTTGACCTACAACTTGGGTTGCATAGATATATTTGACTGTTTGACCTACAACTTGGGTTGCATAGATATATTTGACTGTTTGACCTACAACTTGTGTTGCTTGGATGACTGTTTGACCTACAACTTGTGTTGCTTGGATATATTTGACTGTTTGACCTACAACTTGTGTTGCATGGATATATTTGACTGTTTGACCTTCAACTTGTATTGCTTGGATATATTTGACTGTTTGACCTATAACTTGTGTTGCTTGGATATATTTGACTGTTTGACCTACAACTTGTGTTGCTTGGATCTATTTGACTGTTTGACCTACAACTTGTGTTGCTTGGATATATTTGACTGTTTGACCTACAACTTGTGTTGCTTACTGACAGATTGATCAGCTGAACCTGGACAAGGAAGGTCTGGAGAAGGAACGGGACTTCTACTTCAACAAGTTGCGGGAAATTGAGGTCATCTGCCAGGACAATGAAGGAGCCAGCTATGTCAAGGAGGTTATGGATGTCCTTTATGCAACTGAGGTGACCTATTCTCTTCTCATCTTTTATTTCATAATGCAAAAACCTTGTCGCATTCTAAAAGAATGACAAATTAAGAGTTTCTGTTTTAAAACATCAATTTTAACCGGGGTTCAGTAGATACCATATTTATGAGTATATGGTTTCTGAGATGGTAAGCTAAGGACAAAATAATTTTTGTAGATGTTCATTGAGAGACCAACACTAAAACAGTAGTACTTGTAAGCAGTGAAAGATGGGCCATGGGTTTTGTGGCTGTTGTTTTTATGGGGGAATGCAGGCCACCCCCAACTAAACCCCACCCTTGTGACCTCTTACGACATGCTTGGTAGGGTGCAGTGTTACCATTCTTTTCTTCCCATGGGGTCCTGATAGCACCTGGACATTTATGCCATTACTATACAGTTACAGGCGCTCTTGCTGTTGCCATCTATAGAAACCTTTTTCAGCCATAAACATGTACTATGCATCTGTTTCAGCACTGTCTAGAACAGGATGCTGTGCTGACGTCTTCACCGCCCCTCCAAGGAGGCTTCCATAAATGCAGAGCCAATACATGGTGCCCTGGTATACTGGGTTCTCCCAAGGAATTGTCATCCGCCAGGCCTATTGATACTGAAATGGTGTATAAACCAAGCTACAATAGAATGTTCTGTTGCGAGAACAAAGTGATCACTGTGAATCTGCAACAATGACCAGACTGTAAGAACAACATGTTAAAAGGGGTGTGGCCGGACAAGAGCAGTTTGCAGGAAGCCAGAGGAGAATAAGAAACCAACACAGAACGGGTGTCGTGACCCACTGCATGCTGCGGGACTTACCGAGGAGGGGATCCGAGCACTTATGGAATGAGTAGTGCAATGAGGATAAGCTGTCGACTAACTTAACTAACTAGAATGTTCTGTGCAATAGATATTTGTTAACTGAGGTTGGAAGATAGTTCTTAAGTTCTATGAAACCAGTCCTGATGTACGAGGAACAAAAGGGGGGAAGGGGGTGGATGTCATGGACAGTAATCAGACTGGTGAAAAACTATGAAGAGAGTTGGTTTCTTCTTCACATTCACTGGCTGTAAACTTCGGTGAAAAGCCAGATCTGTAAAACTGATGTGCATGCAAAACTCAGGTTCTGGAACAAGAACTAAAGTCCAGAAGTGGACGAACAGCCAAAAGTTTCCGCCAGAGTTTACTGCTGGTGAACAAGAAGAAGAAGTTTCACAATCCGGTCTTTTAAGGTATGAGGATTTGATTTATGAGGTGAACAGTTTTGACAAAGTCCTGTCTCATGACTTTCAGATAGTTGTTTTGAGACATGAACCAGGCAAGAGGCAGGGACCTCACTACATAGGACTCCCAGAGAAGAACATGGGTTGCACTTCTGCTCGCCTCCATTGTAAAGACGGCACAGTTTAAAATATATATGTATATATTTTAAGCATACATTCAGAATTTATCACATATATATACACCTGTTGTCACCTTTATCAAGACATGCAAGCAACTATGAGTCATAGAGTCACATTATCAACAGTATATTCATTCCAACATTAACCTACCGTGCCAAACATGGATACTATCCAAAGTCCATGTACGCAATCACCACTTGCAAGATGAGATGTCTGAGAAAACCGCCTACCTTACAATCTGAGATGAAGTGAATAATCAAACTATGAGACAGATTGTGGGAACGAAACAACACCTTGTACTAGATTCATTGAGAAACAGCAGATCAAGTGGTTTGGCCATCTCCTCAGAATGCAGCAAGATGAGATACCATCACAGGCACTACATTTCAAAGGATCAGCTACAAGAGCAAGAGGACGGCCTCGAAAAAATGGATCGACAACATTAAAGACACTCTGCGCCTTCACAGCATGACAGTAGCCAGTGGCAGCCAGCATACACTGGATTGCAAATTATTCCTCCGCACGAAGCTTCTTCTTCTTCTTCTTGTTCACTGGCTGTAAATTCCTGCGGTAAGTCGCGGTTGTTCGTCCAAAATGGACTTTTGGCTTTTACCTTGACCTGAGTTTTGCGTGTATATCCGTTTTACTGGCTTATTTGTTCGCAGTTCTCGTTCCCTGCCTCTCCGGCGGATGTACTCCGACTTCGGAGGAAGCACGAAGCTTAACAGCATAAGGTTTTTTGTGACGATGATGATGATTTTTCAGAATTCGATGTAGTGTTAACTGGACTCTTGACTTTTTTTAAATTTCTTGTTGGTGTTTACAGGAAGGATTTGCCCCACCAGAGGATGGAGCTGAACCAGACGCTGAACAAGAAGAATACTAACATGACTTAATCCTGTTTTGTTTCTGTACAAAAAAAATATAATAATTTAGTAAAGTACTTTCATCTACATGCGCAGTATTTCCTTCATGCCTGCCTGCCTGCTGTGTGTCTGCCTCCGTAACATTTTGTCTGTTGTTCGCATAAGGAATCCCGCCCAAAAATGGACCCTTGTTCTGAAAGGTGCACACACGTCTCATTAGCCTACCTGCTGTGGTGATAGGTGTATGTTTTAATCATGCAAATTTGTTGGGTCACAAGCCGCAAACGCCAAAGTATATCCCTATATCCCCTCCAGGCTTTCAGGCTGTAGTTAAAGAATTCCCTGCTCCCTATAATTTTTGGTGAGTTAATTATTTCATGACTTTTGTGGTTACAATTTTTATATAAGTTTTGAATGCTTGTAAGTTTTCTGCACTTTGCTAATATGTTTGTGTTTTGAGCTGAAGCCTTTTTCTTGGGGCTTTCAGGGACAGTAAATGTCACAGACTTATAGATATGTTTGTCTTGTCTGTTTCTGTGGACTGATTCGTCACAGACTTAAATATGTTTTTGTTTGTTGGTTCGTCTTGTCTTTTTGCCTCATCACAGACTTACAGATATGTTTGTTTTGTCTGTTTCTATTGACCAGTTCATCAGACGTAAATGTGTTTTTGTTTGTCTTATCTGTTTCTGAGGATCAGCTTGTCACATACTCACACAAGTTTGTTTTGTCTGTTTTGGAGGATCAGCTTCTCACAGTGTCACACATGTTTGTCTTGTGTTTTTTGTGTGGACCAACTTGTCAAAGACTCACACACATTTGTCTTATGTGTTTGTTTTGTAGACCAGCTCGTCACAGACTCTCACACATTTGTTTTGTAGACCAGCTTGTCACAGACTCACAAATGTTTGTCTTGTGTGTTTTTGTAGACCAGCTTGTCACCGACTCTCACATGTTTGTTTTGTAGACCAGCTCATCACAGATTCACACGTTTGTCTTGTATGTTTTTTTTGTGTGTGTGGACCAGCTTGTCACAGACTCTCACATGTTTGTCTTGTCCTTCTTGGAGGATCAGCTTCTAACAGCGTCACACGTTTGTTTTGTGGACCAGCTTGTCACAGACTCATACATTTATCTTGTGTTTTTATGTCTGTGTGTGTGTGGTGGACCCGCTCATCACAGGCACACACATGTCGTGTGTGTGGACTAGCTCATGGCAGACTTACAGAATCATGTTTATATGCTGTATGTTTCTTAAGATTAGCTTGTCCCAAAAACACACGTTTGTATTGTCTGCTTCTCTAGACCGACTCATCACTGACAAACACATTGTATGTCTTCTGTTTCTCGGGACTAGGCTTCAAACACATTGTATGTCTTCTGTTTCTTGGGACTAGGCTTCAAACACATTGTATGTCTTCTGTTTCTTGGGACTAGGCTTCAAACACATTGTATGACTTCTGTTTCTTGGGACTAGCTCATTGCATGTTTGCATGTATTGCGTTTCCTGGACTGGCTCATTGCAGATTTACACATCTCTATGTGTTCTGGCAGCTTCCGTGAGCTAGCTTCTTAGACCAGTGTGTCCTTTTCGTTTCGTGGACTGTGATTGTACCGGAGTCCACACTGGGACTATGCTACTGCCAAACCTCTTAGATGCCTACCACGAATCCTAGACTGTGTCAACAGCCCAGGGTGGTAGTGGAATGAGTCAGATGGCCCTAAGTAAACACACACGGTACATGAGGAGTTGCAGAATCTCTTTTTGCCAGACTTATGTTGTCTTAAAACTAAACAAATTTAGGCTGTCCTTCGAATAATGGGCACATTTTATGGTGGCTAAAAACACACCTTAACAGGGCCACCGTAACATGTAAACTGTGGACTTCCGGCGACTACCGAATCAGAATATTAATATCTCCCACGCCGCTACGCACGGCGTGGAGCGGGGCTAACTAGATGGCTGGGACTCACGAGCAGCAGCTACTGCAGCTTCCTTCATTTTATTTGCTTGTGGGTCACAGCCATCTAGTTTAGCTCCACTCCATGCCGCGCATAGTGGCGTGGGAGATACTCTCAGCGGTAGTCGCCGGAAGTCTGCAATTTACATGTGACTGAGGCCCTGTTAGGGTGTTTTTTTTGGGGCCACCATAATATGTGCCCGTTATTCGGAGGATAGCCCAAATTTAATTTCACAACTGCTTATTGCCACAATGAATGTTTAACACACCCTTACATTTATCAGCGAATTCAAATACCCTTCTGCCTCATCACACTCTTCTGCCTCATCACACTCATCTGCCTCATCACACTCTTCTGCCTCATCACACTCTTCTGCCTCATCACACTCTTCTGCCTCATCACACTCTTCTGCCTCATCACACTCTTCTGCCCCATCACACCCTTCTGCCCCATCACACTCTTCTGCCTCATCACACTCTTCTGCCTCATCACACTCTTCTGCCCCATCACACCCTTCTGCCCCATCACACTCTTCTGCCTCATCACACTCTTCTGCCTCATCACACTCTTCTGCCTCATCACATTTACATGTAGCTCATACGCTGTACAGAGCGTAAAACATGTTTGTCATGAGACAGGATGACCACCTGCCCCTTGTACACTTTAGTTTAATAGTGTTCACCTTTTAGATAATTGTTGTCACTTTAGATGCATACTCAATTGTGTCCCTGATCAGTGCCAGGTATTTATAGTTCTCAACATTTGTGGGTGAATTTAATTTAATTATTGATGTGTGTTGTTGCTTGATATTTGTGTGTGTTGAATTTGATGAGGTGAAAGGTTAGTTTGTCACATTTTATGCAGTTTTTGTCCGTTCAATAGGGGATAAGTTAGGTTTTGTCACATTTAATGAGTGATAAGTTAGGTTTTGGTCACATTTGCTGAGGAAAGTTAGTTTTTGTCACATTTGATGAGGTTATAAATTAGTTTTTGTCATGTTTGATGAGGTGATAAGTAAGGTTTTGTCACATTCGATGTTAGTTATTTAGTTTTTGTCACATTTGATGAGGTGATAAATTAGTTTAGTTTTTGTCACATTAGGTGGGCTGATAGGTTAGCTTTTGTCACATTTTGGTGAAATTAGTTTTTGTTCAATTTGGTGAGGAGAAAAATATTTTTTTTTTGGTTCCATTTGATGAGGTGATATGTTAGCTTTTGTCATATTTGGTGAGGTGATATGTTAGCTTTTGTCACATTTGATGAGGTGATATGTTAGCTTTTGTCACATTTGATGAGGTGATATGTTAGCTTTTGTCATATTTGGTGAGATGGTAAGATTAGTTTCAGACATGTATGATAAGTTCTAGATGAGGTGTGGATTAGTTTCTCAAGTCCACTTTTATAAAAACATAGAAATTTGACAGTATGTGTTTGAAGATTGGTGAATGGGTCGTCAGGCTGGTTGAGGCTTGTTGTTTGCCAGAGCAGTGTGTTACTTGATACTCTAACCTAACACAAGAACTGTGTGATGGGTTCTTGCACAAGTGGCTTGATGTTTTATAGAATTTAATGCAGTATGTGGCCGCCCACATTTTTGATTTACTTTAGCAGTCTCAGGCTACTTGTCTACAACTCTGTATTAACAGTCAGTAGCCACTTGTCTAAATTTTTATATTAACAGTCAGAAGCCACTTGTCTAAATTTCTATATTAACAGTCAGTAGCCACTTGTCTAAATTTCTATATTAACAGTCAGTGGCTACTTGTCTTTATCTCTGTTAATGCAATCAATAGTTACACTTCTGTATAATGCAGTCTGTGGCTACATCTCTGTATTAACCCAATGGCTAAATCTTTCTATGAACACATTTAATAGCTAAACCTCTGTATTAACACAATTAGTAGCTACACCTCTGTATTTGTGTAATCAGTAGCTACACCTCTATTTTAACAAAGTCATTGGCTACATCACTTTGTTCACACAATCAATGGCTATGTTAATACTCAGTAGCTACATCTCTGTATTAACATGACACAACTAATTGCTGCATAAATATAAACACATCACACATCAGAGAATTCGTGACCACATTCAGCAAAGATATTTTGTGAAGTCAGTTTAGAAAACTTATTTTAATAATACTTGGCCTTACAAAGATAATATAATTTGTTTGAGTTTAGCTTTGATAATTTCATGGTTTTTTTTTTTTTTTTTTTTTTTTTTTTTGGAAATAATATTGACAATATTTATTGTTGCCTTGAATACCAATGGTTTTTTTTTAAAAAATAAATCTCTTGAATTCATGACGTTACCTGGTACTTTATGTGTCGATATTGCAAAATCTAAACACAGTTCAGTGTTTAAAATCGAGAGGTTGAACTTCATTGTACCAACCTTTTTTTTTTCCAGCGGGTCATGTAGAGAAAAATCCATTATAACATACCAATCCTAGTGGGGGTTCTGGGGCCCTGTTATAGGGAAAACAAGAATAGACCCACTGCCTACCCAAAAGCATGCAGTAAGAGTCGACTAGCTGGGAGCTTCCTTCAAAGTCAGAGTGCATCTGCCTGAGAGGCAAGGAACCAACAGTCTGCATACAAATTAGATCTGTCAAATGATGCACACGCAACAATCAGGTTCTGGAACAGGGCTGCAGTCCAGAAGTAGACGAACAACCAGAACTTTCCTCCGGAGTTTACAGCCGGTGAACGCAAAGAAGATTTCCACGTAACAATATTTTTCTGGGATAATATAGAAAAGTTACTTCACTCTTTTGATCTTCTTTGTTCATTGTCTAAAAGCTGCAGCTGAAAGTCCTGGTTATTCGTTTACTTGGACTTTTGTCTTTTTTCCTGAGTTTTGTGTGTACATCCGTTTTACTAGCTTATTTGTGTACAGCTGTTGTACCTTGCTGCTCGGACAGATGCCATCCGACTTTGAAGAGGACTCCCAATTGGTTGACTCTTATGACGTGATAGGCATTGGATCCATTCTTGTTTGCCCCACAATGGTGCACTGAAACCCATACACGAGGATATTGATCTACAAACTTGCCAATCAGAGAAAAAGAACTGTTGTCGCCTTATATTTTATTATCTAAGCCACTGACAGATACTGTCTCCTGATTTTTCAGTTTGTCTACAACATAGAAGCCAGCTGCAGGCCTCGGAAATGAGATACCTGAGAAAGGTGGTCCAAGTGACAAGAAGAAACAAAGTCCGCAATCAGACAATACGTCAAGATCTTGATACCCAGCCCTTACAAACCCGAGTGGATCAGTCACAGTTACGATGGTTTGGACATGTATGCAGAATGGGAGAAAATCGGCCACCATTGAAAGCATGGGAGGCTAAGAACCAGGGAACCAGACCTCCGGGACGACCCAGGGTGCGCTGGGAAGACAACATCCGACAGTCCCTAACTGACAGAGGACTGGAATGGAACAAAGCCAGAAAGAAAACTGCTGATAGAGACGTCTGGCGATCTCTCTGGCAAACCCCTACACACCCAAGGTAGAAGAGGAGCGACTCAGTCAGTTTGTCTACAACATGTGTTTTCCAGCAGGATCAATGATTTGGCGACATCAATGTCTGGATATCACTGTTTTGGATTTTGATATTTGAAATTTTTTTTTTTTTCTGCGTATGAATGTGTGTTTTTGTGCTCTGCTATTTTGTGGGCTCGCAGGCCAGATTATGTAGCAATTTTACACCAGCCTCACGAGTCAATAAAAATTGCTCGGCTCGCTATAGTTTACCAACCCTTGCTTTTTTCTTTACGGCTTAGTCTTTCTCCACAGGGTGGTTTGCCTATCAGGAGCTCCACCGAAAACAGTCTATCTCTAATGGCAAACAAGGGATTTCATAAACTGGTCTTTCCCATTTATATTCTCACAAAAAAAGCCGCTCCTGGATGACCACAGCTGAAGATTTAATCCAGCAGGTATGTGACCTAGACGAGATCAGTCACGGAAAAGAATGGACGAATACACCAGTAGACATGCAAGGCATCGCTAAGGTTGTGATCACACTGAGAAGGTACTGCAGGGCTCAGATTCCTGGGGCTGTAGTGACAGAAGTGAGGGCACTGATAGATCAGCATTCACACCCAGAAGTCATCTACACAGATGGATCCGTGAAGCGCTGATCAAGGTCAACATGGGCATACACAGCGCAAGGAATGGGAAAAAACAATACAGGAGGACAGCGGCGCTTACCAGATAACCACGTCAAGCATGACCATGGAAATAGCCGCTGCTTCTAGAGTACTAGCATGGGTATCAGAGCAAACCGCCACACAGGCAGTAATTGTATCAGACTCCATGGATATGCTTCAGAAGATAGCAACAGGCGGTATGCGCTCGGAATGGGTAGAAAGAATTTGAAAATCGCACTTAACCTGCCTCACCTGAATCTACACACCAGGTAATATGGGCGTAGAGAGTAATGAAAGGGACCAACTGGCAGGCAATGCAAAAACGCATGTGAGAAGAAGCATGGACAGAGCAGATAGCATCGCTGTACGGACTGGCTAGTGGATAATGACGAATCTCTGACACTAATACGATTGCGTGAAATGGGAGTATAGCATGTTTAAGCACGTCTATGTCGCCTGCGAAGCTGAAATAGGAGACATAACCTTCTCATGGGGACAGTTAGTAGAAGTACCTTGGAGTGGCTGCTGCATCGGAGGACTGAGCATGCATGGAATGCCCATTGTGAAGTGACGTCGATGATATAAAATCTTCCATTTGGTAATCTACAAACCTTTGGAGGTCCGTAGATAAATTTAAGGGTACCATGGTATCACTGGGAGCTGCCATAGTGTAGTGGATAGACGCTCGTCTGAAGGTCGTGTGGGTTCAGACCAGGAATACTTTTTTCAAAGATGGTCTGGCCTCCCATTTTAGCCCCGCTTTTAAATGGGTACCAGCGAAGTAAAGGCAGCCGGCATGATGCTTACCACATACCACACAGAATGTCGATTAATCTATAAAATATAGGTCTAAGCCAGGGGTTTCCAACCTTCTTAATGCCGCCACCCTTTAACACAGTTCCTCATGTTGTGGTGACCCCCAACATTTTTTTCGTAGCTACTTCATAACTTCAATGAATATGTGTTTTTCGATGGTCTTTGGCGACCCTGTGAAATGGTAATTGGACCCACAAAAGGGTCACGACCCACAGTTGGAACTCGCTGGCCCAGCCCAGTTCGCCAGAAGGCATGGAAAAGGGACCTTTACACGATATACTCCCCCCCCCCCCCCCCCCCCCCCCCCCTCCCCCCCCCCCCCCCCCCCCAAAAAAAAAAAAAAACCACAACTTAAGAATGCAATCCTTTTAGCAACTCTAAATATTTATAAATAATAGTCTACATTTGACAGCAATTGAAAACTGTTTCATGGCAGATCTTCAAAATTGACTGACTGACTTTCTAACCCACAAGAACATCACACAAGCGATAAACATTCGATGACATAAAGTGCCACCATGTGGATGAGGATCGCCGTGGAGAGGTCCCAGAAACCGCGTTCAGACAATTGGCCATATTTTTGGCCTGCCTGAATTGCGGCCCCTGGAAAAAGCCAGGGTGGGGCTTCAAATAACAAAAAATGTCATCCTAAAAAGGACGAAACTGGATAAAGTCGTAGAGACGACCGCCTCTATCTTCAAAAGTAACAGTGGTCCACAGTTATTAGCCAGCTGAGAATCCAAAGAGAATGGCGCTGCGAGAAGTTGCCAGGGGATCTAGCAAACGATCAACACTGAAGGAAAAGACGAAACATATACAATCACACAGTTACTGGTACCATCGGAATTGGAACTCTTCGTTTGCCGCTAAAGATGGGGACAGGGTGCTTGTGGGAGTGTCCCGAGTACTGTTATGTCAATTCCTAATTCAATATTTAACTCACAAACTGAGAACACAGAATCCAGAATTGAACCTACAGGCTTAAAATAAACTTACAGGCTAAAATGGAACCCTCAAGCCTAAAAACTTTCACATGAAACTCCCAATTATACAGCTTCAAAGCGGATAATTTCTGCTTGGGAAAGGTAGTTTGTGTGTGTGTGAGGGGGGGGGGGAGGAGTGCGTGGGGGTAAAGGCAAACAATTGAAAGAATATGTATTAGATAATTAGTGACGAGTAATTTGGAAGCTGATTTTTACAGAAGAACGATAGAACACAATGGACAAATAAAAAGTTTTATGAAGATGTCATACGAGAAATCAACTACTTAAATTGTTTATGCCCAACAAGAGATGATCTACTACTTTTGGGCACGTCACAAGAAAGAGGCAGGCCTCGCTGGACAGGTTGACATCCTGGAGAATGGACCATCATCTAAATGAGACAAAAGGTTGTGGATAGACATGTCTACCAACGACACAAAATATGGAACTTGAGAAAGAAAAGAAAAAGAAACGTTTGATAGTCCATGCCGTGTGGCGTCGGTAGTGACGTCACTTCCGCAACTTCCAAAATGTTCTGACACAGAACATCTTTCATACTCGATGTGCAGCATATTTTATCTTGGTCTCCCTCCTATACATACCCACCCCTCCAGCTCTCTTCCCCTCTAACTTTCTCACTGTCACGATGTATTCCAGTTTTCTCCTTTTCATGATGTGACCAGAGAATGTAGATTGTCTCCCCCTGATGTAGGCAATCAGTTCTCTTCGTGAGTCAGTTTCTTTCAAGACAATCATTACTATTTTTCCACAGTGTTCTAATCATTCGTCAATAAAACCACATCGCTGCTTCCACACACATGTTTGACAAATTCGTCAACTGTTCATGATTCACTTCAGTATATCAGGATAGCATTTATATAGCTCTTGAGAACTTCTTCTTCATAAGAAACGTTAAGTACAACAAACATTGAAGAGACGTCTGGGCAGTTGCAAGCTTCAAGCATATATTTATTGATACCCATGACGTGTGTGTTTGCTTGTATGTGCCTGTATGTTTGCATGCAAGTTAGTGAGTGTATCTGTTAATATCAACTGTTCCACCTTAAACGGGCCGATCAACAGGTCTGTGTAGACAAGGTTCGTTTGGTCCTCCTTGGAACACACGGCCAGGGAATGACGCCCCCACATGCAGGCACCGTCAAGCTGCTGTTGCCTCTCGCAAAGATCAGGTAGGCACTGTAGCCTGCCTGCAGAAATGCAGAGTCGCAAGGATCACGTTGACTGTACACTCTGGAAACTCTAACCTGTCTTTGCCGACGACCAGTGTTGTCCTTGAAATACGGGTTGACCCGGAAATCGTGCGAACCCGATATCACCTATGGAGGTCAAAACAACCAAACTCATTTTTTAAACACTTGTATTACCAACAATTATTAAACTCATTCTTTGCCTAGTAGTCTCTAATTTATGTTATGGGTGTTTGTGTACGAAGAGTTAATACAATAGTAATATAAGGATAAATTGAAAAAGGAAATACGTGTTTAACAACCAGATGGAATATCGAAACAGAAAGAGGGACACACGCACCTGTGCGCACACACACGCGCGCGCGCACTCACACACACAAACCCAACAAGATACAGGCAGAATTGCAGAACAGAAAGAAAGCCAAAGTGCTGAACACAAAGAATCGGTAGTCGAGGCTCCATCATTTCAGACGGATCGTCCCATAGCTGCTCCGATCAGGTCCCACTGGAAATCCCACAAAATATCTTTTATTGTCTGTCCTAAACTTACGGATCAACTTGCCAGTCCCAGTAGCAATTTGAAGCTTGTACACGCACAGTCTGTTGCTTAAGTGTTGCGAACGAGCTTCGTAATGACGGGTTAGATCACAGCTACGGGCAGATGAAAGTCGTAAAGTTATCAAAACAGACATTGTCATTGTGTTTTTTTTTTTTTTTTCGGCATGTTATAAGAAAGTAATTGACTCGAAAATATGATAACAACGGGTAAGAGTGACGGAAAGAGAGTAAGAGGTAAATAAAGAGATAAAAACATCGATTGCTAGACTATGGGGATAGGGTGAGACAAAAGCATTGACATGATCCGTGATTCTGGTGGTCATGTGAGATGGTGAATGAAACATAACAGCCTACGCTTTTTATCACACTATGATCATACGATTTTGAAAGTAATCGGCAACTTGCCATTTGAGTGCAGTCAAAAACACGCCGAGGGCACAACAACAATAAAAACACACATTTCATATGAAATCCACAGCTCACAGTGTTGCATTAGGCACTCAGTTTAAAAGCTGGGCGACAAAACCTTTAAACTCCCTGTCCAAAATTGCGAATTTGTATCAGCGTAACCCAGCTGGAAACAAATAACCTTTCAGAGCGTCGGCTGTCGGCCAACCAAAGGCGATTTTGACCGGAAATCCTCCAGCAAACAAAAAGAATCAGCATAAAAAGAAAGAAAATAACACAAAAAAGTTCATTATTCTTACCTGTGTCCCATCAGTGTCAATGGCGACTCCCGAGACGCCGGAGACGGCCCTGCCTTTAAAAACAACATCCGCTTGGCAAAACTGACCAACGAAGTCAAAGTTCTGGGGGCACGCCCCTGACACGACGTGCAAGATGGCGGCGAGGCAAACACTAGCCAATATCAGCTGCATGGTCAGTCTCTCCTGTCTCTAGGGAGAGTCGGAGATAATTGAATATCATTGTCGCTGATTGTCTGTCTGGTGGGGGGAGGAGGGGGATGTTTGGGGGGGGGGGGGAGGGGGGGGGGGTCCGGAAAGAGAGAAGAGAGAGATAGATCTCCCATGACTTTCGTGCCCTTTGTTGTCAGTAAGTGACAAAAGAAAGAAAGAAAGAAAGAAAGAAAGAAAGAAAGAAAGAAAGAAAGAAAGAAAGAAAGAAAGAAAGAAAGAAAGAAAGAAAGAAAGAAAGAAAAAGAAAGAAAGAAAGAAAAAAGAAAGAAAAAGAAAGAAAGAAAAAAGAAAAGAAAAGAAAAGAAAAAGAAAAAGAAAGAAAGAAAAAGAAAGAAAGAAAGAAAGAAAGAAAGAAAGAAAGAAAGAAAGAAAGAAAGAAAGAAAGAAAGAAAGAAAGAAAGAAAGAAAGAAAGAAAGAAAGAAAGAAAAGAAAAGAAAAGAAAAGAAAAGAAAGAAAAGAAAGAAAGAAAGAAAGAAAGAAAGAAAGAAAGAAAGAAAGAAAGAAAGAAAGAAAGAAAGAAAGAAAGAAAGAAAGAAAGAAAGAAAGAAAGAAAGAAAGAAAGAAAGAAAGAAAGAAAGAAAGAAAGAAAGAAAGAAAGAAATTCACATGACTATCTTTAGGTAAGTCACATAAACGAATAGAAGAGATGAGAGATAAAAAGCGAAACAAAAATAGTCTTATAAATAGGATGGCAACAAAGGGTGTCATTTTGATTTCTGTAGCGGTAATACATCCATTGCCGGCTTGCTAGGCCTGTCGCAAAGTCTGCACAGAACCAATTCTGGATTACATACAAAGACAGCAAGTGAAATGATTTGCCCACTTAGAGAGAATGCCTTGTGACACCATACCATACAAAACATACATGGAAAGAGAAGAATGACGTAGAGCACGGGGTAGACCAAGAACAAGATGGAAGGATAACATCAGAGAAACTCTACAACAGCACGATGAGCCTATGGTCGAGGCAGCCAGAAGAGCTAGAAACAGAACCTTATATCTCCCTCGACACCCACAGCGGTAAAAGAGGAAGTGAAGAAGAAGAAGAAGAAGAAGAAGAAGAAGAAGAAGAAGAAGAAGAAGAAGAAGAAGAAGAAGAAGAAGAAGAAGAAGAAGAAGAAGAAGAAGAAGAAGAAGAAGAAGAAGAAGAAGAAGAAGAAGAAGAAGAAGAAGAAGAAGAAGAAGAAGAAGAAGAAGAAGAAGAAGAAGAAGAAGAAGAAGAAGAAGAAGAAGAAGAAGAAGAAGAAGAAGAAGAACGAAGGGTCTGTTCAATTCTGGAGAGAGAGAGAAAGAGAGAGAGAGGGGGGGGGAAGAGAGAGAACAAAAGAAGTGTGCAGCCGGTATATTGTTCAGTGGAGCCCAAAGCAGGAGAGAGAGAGGGAGAGATAGATAGATAGATAGATAGAGAGAGAGAGAGAGAGAGAGAGAGAGAGAGAGAGAGAGAGAGAGAGAGAGAGAGAGAGAGAGAGAGAGAGAGAGAGAGAGAGAGAGAGAGAGAAAGAAAGAGAGAAAGCAATACATTTCAATAATCAAACTCTACACAACGTTTTTCTCTTATGGCCTCATTCCTGATTGTGTCTCTTCTAGTCACTCCTACAGCCTTTCTTCTCATTATTGTGGTTACTGATTGTCTTTTGTGGTTTGTTGTGAGCGACCATATCTGGCACTGACAGCATCGGTTGGGGAGGATTTTGCTTTGTATGAGATGTTTCTCTGCGCTGATTGATCTGTCTATTTCTTTCTAGGAGTGCCGATAAATACATTGTCTGTTCGTTTATTATATATGTGTGTGCTGATTTGGATTGTCTTGTGCTGTAAAAGGGAGTTAGCTGTCCCAGTACTTGATTTGCTTTACGACATCGATTGTTGATTTCTATTCGTCTGTCAATCACCGGTCACGGGTGAGGACTATTGTCTGGATCTTTTCTCCGTGGAATTCCGGGGTGTTGGGAAATTAAAATGCGGACAGATTGGATGGCTCTGCACAGCTTCGTGGAATATTGATTCATGATAAGACAGACGTGGTTAAAGCCAGGGGGGGGGGGGGGACGTGTACACTTCAGAGGAGCAAATGAATCACCACAGTCTGGTGAGACTGATGCAGCAGGGAGGGGACGAAGGGATCTGGCCGATACTCAACGCTCAGAACTTCCGGTTAAAATGGACGCTAGACAGCGGCGCTGTTCGGAGCGGAGGCAAATTTTTTGCTTCTGCCGGACGGTGGCCGATGTATTTTTTGCTCCATTTGTAGACTGGATATAGTTTCGTCGCCCAGCTTCTGAGTTGAATGCATGGCGTGACTCTGTGAGCTGCGGATTGCATTTGGAATGTTTTTTCGACTGTGACCAACGTGGTGTGAATTGTAGATTCAGAAAATGGCGCGATGCCGGTCGTCAATGTTGGCGGTGCCCGTGTGTGATTACAATTGATCGCGTGGGCAACTGCTGATCTGTTGGCGACAAGTTCTGCTATCATCAATGATGAACTGCATTTCTAATGCTGGACTGTTTGTGTTAGCACTTCGGATGGCTACCATATGCGTTAATGCGAGTGTATGCTAGATATGCTGAGACAGCAGTCTGTCAATCTTTCCACAAGGGACTGTGATAAACATTCTGGGTGTTTTTCGCTGGCACAGGAGCGGAGCAAAGATAGGGCGACCCGTTTGCTATGAAGCTGAAACTAAAACTACCAGACTACCAGACTCAACGCTCAGAGAAAGGGAAAGACGGATGTATAATCAGAATGCTCCTGGCACCATTGGTATCAGAACTCTAACTGACTGCTGATGATGGGGACAGGACACTTATGGAAATGCCCTGAGTGTTGTAATGTCCACGACTAGTAGAGCGAGAGGCAAGCGGTTTGAACACTTCGCCTCGGACAACCCCCACCCCCGCCCCACTCCACACTCTTCCCCCACTCTCCCTCCCTCACACTAGTATGTACGTATTAGTTGCACTAAATGCAACGCAGGGAGAGCCGCCGTGATGTAGCGGCTAGTGGCTCGCATGCGGATCCAAAGATCGTGTGTTCAAACATGACCTTGGCTCCCAGGTAGAACCTGCCTTAAATGGGTACAGGGTAAATGCCATGGGAAGTAAAGGCACCTGGCTTGACGCTTTTAGTTAGTTAGCAAATTAACTAGTTAGTTGAATAATTAGTTAGTTAGCCAGTTAACTAGTTAGTTGAATAATTAGTTAGTTAGCCAGTTAACTAGTTAGTTGAATAATTAGTTAGTTAGCCAGTTAACTAGTTAGTTAAATAATTAGTTAGTTAGCCAGTTAACTAGTTAGTTGAATAATTAGTTAGTTAGCCAGTTAACTAGTTAGTTGAATAATTATTTAGTTAGCCAGTTAACTAGTTAGTTGAATAATTAGTTAGTTTGCCAGTTAACTAGTTAGTTGAATAATTAGTTAGTTAGCCAGTTAACTAGTTAGTTGAATAATTAGTTAGTTAGCCAGTTAACTAGTTAGTTGAATAATTATTTAGTTAGCCAGTTAACTAGTTAGTTGAATAATTAGTTAGTTAGCCAGTTAACTAGTTAGTTGAATAATTAGTTAGTTAGCCAGTTAACTAGTTAGTTGAATAATTAGTTAGTTAGCCAGTTAACTATCTAGTTAAATAATTAGTTAGTTAGCTAGTTAACTAGTTAGTTGAATAATTAGTTAGTTAGCTAGTTAACTAGTTAGTTGAATAATTAGTTAGTTAGCCAGTTAACTATCTAGTTGAATAATTAGTTAGTTAGCTAGTTAACTAGTTAGTTGAATAATTAGTTAGTTATCTACTTAAGTTAGTTAGTTAGATTCTTACTTGGATAGTTACCTTATTATATAGTTAGCTATTTCGTTAGCTAAATAATTAGTCAGTTAGTTAATTACTAGTCAAATAGTTGGCAAGTTAATTATTTAGGTAATTATTTGGTTAGTTAGTTTTCTATTTGGTTAGTTATTTTTAGCTTGTCATCTATTTTTTTAGTTATCTTTAGCTAGTTATCTATTTGGTTAGTTATCTTTAGCTAGTTATCTAGTTAGCTAGTTATTTAGCTAGGTAATTATTTGGTTAGTTAGTTAGTTAGCTAGTTATTTCGCTAGTTATCTGTAGAGTTAGTAAGTTAATTATCTAGTTAGTTTTTTAGTCAACTAGTTAGCTATTCTGAGTAGTTAGTAGTAGCTAGCTAGTTAAACTAGGCAGTTAGTTAGCTAGCTAGTTAGTAAGTTGTGCAAGTAGCTATTTACTGACTTATATTGCATAAAGTACTTACAGAAAGTTCCAGTTTTCTGTTTCCAAACTTCAAACCCGACCAGATTGGAAAAACAGATCCGATGAATCTCCTCTCGCTTGCCTTTGTCAGTGGTAGACCAGAGTGCATAAACAAAACACAGCGCCCACTTTTAGATTAGCACAGATGAGTACTCACAGTCAAGCACAAGGGTGTTCTCAAGCTGCTGTCAACTACTTGAAATATTTCACTGCTAACAGATAGCATCGTGTTGTTGCACATGTATGTGCTTCAGATGCCGGATTTGAAATCTATTGAAAGGTCATTGACGTTTAGCGGGTTTCACGGACGCTGGTTTAGGCACCTTGATAAGGCTGTTTTTATTTGAAGATCCATGGGTCCACAGGCTGGTTCTGGTTGTTTCAAGTAGCTGTTTGCCAGAGCCGTGTGCTGCTTGATACTCTAACCAAGAACAAGAACTATGTGACGTGCACAAACTTGAGGAGAGAAGAGTGCAGCCGGTATATTGTTCCGTTGAGCTCAAAAGGAGACCTTGATAAAGAATAATTTTATTAACCAACTTTATACAAAGAAAAATAAGAATATTGGATATCTACTTTAGGCTCTGTACATTGTGTGAATAGCGACACTGTCATGCAGCCTTGTTTGGCATAATCTCTATTTTAAAAAGTACGAGGGGGATATAGTGGAGAAAATGGCGGGAAACTATTTGGAGAA